AGGGACTGTAACGCAGATCTGATACAGACGTGATACAGATTTGAATTCTTTCCTACGTCACAAAAGGGGTGCTCCGCTTATTGGTTCAATTCTCTCCCTATCAGGCTATCAGAATTGACACGGCTGCGGCCAATTGCCATTGCCGTCCTAGAACGCTGGAGGCGCTGTATCATCCATATGGCAGGCCTGTAAGTTGTGCTGTAGTCTGCTCAAAAGAGCGAGCAGGGAACTGTACACTCTGCATTGGTATGGCTAGACCTTGTGTTTTATTCTGCCGCTGTGGTGTTTTTCTCCCTCGAGAAGCGCTGTATGCCTCGCCTAAGACCTGAATGACATATATCATGTATGATATGACTGTACATAACGCGGTCATTTGTGACGACAGCGTGATCAGGACCCGCGGTCAATATGCTTTATTACGATCTCAACAAAAAGAAATGTATACAGTCCCGATGATGAATCTTGAAGTCTGACCTTGTGGATGTAGACAGCGATTTTTTTACACAAGTAGTCAGTGTCTGCCTAATCATAAATTGATCATGCACATCCGTTAGAAAAATAGTCCGGGTTACTTACCGATTGAGCCATGTTAGGGATTGGTTGCGATAATGCGTCTCTGAGCAGCCTTGTTTTTTGTTCAGAGGTTTGACATACATCTCTTCCGCTTGTGGTAGCTTACTTATTCTTGTTGCCTTGGAAGTATCCCTCACCGAAAGCACAAGCACGGGTCTACTGAAGCGTGTTCGCTCACTGCGGTTTACGACAATGTGGCTATGTGGGCATACTGACCGCTTGTATATCAAGTGGAGGGTAATTCTGAGCATCTTTGACCTTATTAAAGTACATATGTAACGATTAAAGGTCATGACTGATAAGTTTATTTGCATCCGGCTATGTCCTCTCTGTACAGACCAGTTGGGGATTCAAAGCAATGCTCTGCTGTAGGTTGGCATGGTCGACAGCTGCCTGTGATCAAGTCCCGGCAGACCGGTTGACGTCGATATATCGTCTATGAGCCCATGGTTATTACATCAGGATCTGTTTGGTATTAAATAATATATATTAATGATAATCTGCTAGGTCTCCGACAATATAGAATTGAAACATACGCATGTTATGTCGGCATTTAGACAATGGATTTTATTGATTAAAAAGAAGTAGGTGTTGTATGTTGTTTGAGGTTGCTTAAGGTCGGATTCAGTGGGACGTATGCATGTGCGCTAAGAAAAATATTAAGTCCAGATGGATTCACTGATTGTATAACTAACCAGTCTTGAGCAACAGATGCAGGGAAAATGTATTAGGACTAATCTGTGAGACGTTTCTCTAGACGGGAAACATTTGATTTACAAGGATTTGATTGGAATTCGATCCGTTAGTTTCGATTCTTGTTTCTTTTGACTTATTATATTGTTCGCTTGTATTCCCATATTTAATATGTTCAAAATCTTTGGAAATGTCTCTATGAATCTTCTCTGTGTCTCCTATATTTTTTGTCCATATATCCTCTCCTCTTACAACTGGTCAACTGAATATGTGGTGAGTTTGATAATGTTCCTGATGTGTGTT